TTTTCAAGAAGTCTCAGGAGCTGCAGACTACGGGGGAGATAGCGGAAAAGCGCCGAGGACCCAAGCCAGCGTTATCTGTGGAGCAAGAAGACGCCCTCGTCGCATGGATTGCGGCAATGCAGCGTGAGGGTTTCCCTGTTGGCGCAGCTCGAGTCTTAGAGCGAGCCAACAAGATCAATGAAATGCTCCATGGAGCTACTACTCGCGGTAGAACACCGTACCAACCGCTTACTAAGGGCTGGTACAGACGGTTTAAAGACCGCCACCCTGAACTGGCGCCTAGAACGGCGCAGAAAATTGCTCGTGTGCGGAACATGGTGGGCGACGAGGATATTCTCGGCTGCTTCCACGCGGTGTGCAAGCGCGTGATTGAACTACGATTGTCTGCTGACAGAGTAAACAACATGGATGAGACTTCCTTTATGCCGAAGGGAACATCGAGCAGAGTTCTTGCACTCAAGGGGTCTCCCAATGTCTGGAGTAAAGAGACAAGGCCCAACTTCCACATGACGGTCATTGCTGCCGTCAATGCAGTCGGGGGAGCGATACCTTCTCTCATTATTCTTCCTGGAAAATCGCCTTTACAAGGCAGAGCAGCATACTATTTCTATCAAGGGTGCGCGAGTGACGGGTGCGCCCAAGGGATTTAGTAATGGAGGAATATTTCGCCTCTGGCTGCCCATGTTTGTTGACCAAGTAAAGTCAAGTGGTGTTCGGTTTCCTGTTCTGCTAGTGCTGGACAATAGCTCGACTCACCTCGACTTCGGTAAGTACTATGAATGTTTAAATTATTTTATATCTATTTTTTTTATCTCTTTGGACGGGTATTTACTTTTAAAGATTCAATTACAGAGGCATACGACATGGGAGTCTGGATGCTTACCCTTCCTCCAAACGCTACACATTTGTACCAGCCTCTCGATGTAGCCGTCTTCAAGCCTTTCAAAAGCGCAGTGGTCGATGCTTTGCAGCTAAAACTGCTAAATACAGCCGATATGGTGCTGTCAAAAACGACGGCTATTGGGATCGCGTGCTCGGCCTACAAAACGGCCATTATCGAGCGATCAACGAATACTGTTAGTGGTTTCAGGTGCGCTGGGCTGTACCCACCGTCGATTGTGAACATGACAAAACGCTTAAAGCTCTATACGGATGGCGGGGCCAAGGTAAATATCGGTACTGAGGTTTGGATCACGAGGAAACAGGAGGAGGTTCGTGCGGAGGCTTGCTGTGATGTCCTGGTCCTTCCGCCGGCAGGAAAGGCTAGTAAAAAGGCTAGGATCACTGTTGACATTGAGGGAGAGCTTGTGGGCAACGACGCCCGCTTGTAAGTGAATATATTTCCTAGATAAGACAATCGTGCAGTAAATTGATCACTTACTTTTTCATAGTTATTGAAGCGTGTTAGTGCCGTCATAGCTCTTGATGTCGTGATGCGTTAGATAAACTGTGGATTGTCTTTAAAACGTTTAAGCTTTATTATTGCGCTGTTAAAACACAATCAGCAAACTATTTCGTGTTATTGCGTAGGCGTACTCTTCCGAGTGTATCCGATTTCACGCACTCAATTGGCACTTTCCGTTACCAGAACGGTAAACGATCGTTTGGGCGTGATCTGAAGACCCAGACTCAGCCCTTACATCGGGACAGACTGGGCCTGCAAATCGCTTATATAGGCCAACCAGTAAAAATAA